CACACGCACTCACACACAGTGGTGGCCATCTAGATTTTGATGTAGGAACCCAATTTTCGATAGTGACCTTTTTTTTTTACCGCTTCAATGCAGCCACACCAAAATGGAAGACACCACTTATTTTTAAGTTCCCCAGCTCACGACGTGGTTTGTTGGATGGACGGTATTTCGCTTCGCTCTACGACGAGGGACAATTAAAGTCATAGCATCTCTTGAAGAAATGCAAAGAACCCGCTGCCTTTAAAGCCAGAGTTTTAAACTACCATCCTATGTTAAGTAATGATGGAGTAGGAGGATTTTTGGTCCAACCTTGAAAACATTTAGAGAATGTTGTTTATTAGGAGGCACAAACAAGTCAAGCAAAGTTTAGCAACTGTTTTACCTGCTGTTGGAGAAAGGTGAAGCATGAATGTTAACCATAGCGCAGCATTGAAGGACAGGTTCATTGAGAGTACATTTATTCTGCTCAGTGCCTCCTGCAGAGAACAGCTCTGTGCGTGTGTGTGTGTGTGTGTGTGTGCACAAGCTCCAGACAGCAACTCACTGAGAGGCACACAAAAGCTCAAAAACAAGGAGGAGGATGAGCTTTACTTTTCCAGCAGTGTGATTATTGATTCTGCTGCTCCTCTCTGTAGCCTTTACACACATTTACATGGAACTCACGGATTGTTTTTCCTTTTTTCTGCGCATCACATGACTTTTACTGCGTCTCAGCCCATTGCTGGCCACTGCACTGACTGTGTGTGTGTGTGATGGTTGTGCTTGTGCTCTTGTAATCAGTGGCTTTGCTACATCTGGTCTGACTGATCTGTGTGTCTCACACCTGTAGACATGCCGGTCACGTTGTGTGGCTGCTGCAACTGCCCCAAGGTGTCTGTGTGTTTGTATTCATGTGCGTCCTCTATGAACTGGTGTGTGAGGCATCGTGCAGAACAAAAACAATAAATGCCATAAACAACATTCCAATATGGCCACTGACTGTGCAAGGTTTTTGAAAACACCTTGCGAGGAGCTGTATGTCTCACACTCTGGTCTGATTTGTTGTTTTGTTTACTTGCTGGAATATATGTGGGAATGTGCAATATGTATTTTTATTGAATTATGTGGTTTTTTTTTTTAATTAATTAATTTATTTTATTGTAGTGTTCACATGATTTTATTGTTTGTAGTGTATTTAATTGTGGAAGAAGCTTTGTTTAGTGCACAATGTCCAAGACAAATTTCCCCTTGGGGACAATAAAGTAAATACAGTATCTCCATCTATCTTCTTTACTGTTTTCAAGTCAAAGCCACACATTAGCACCTTGTTTGTTGTGTGCTGCATCCAGAAACACATAGAAATAGCCTTATTTTATTTAATATTGTGGATTTTGTGAAAACAGGGAATGACCATTCTGTAATGACTATCACTGATCTTCTTGAGTATGTATGATATAACGAGGCGGCTGTGGCTGAATGGTTAAAGCAGTTGTTCTCCAATGGGAGAGTTGGGGGTTCGATTCCACCAGCAGTCACATGTTGAAGCGTCCCTAGGCAAGACACTGAACCCCTCATTGCCTCTGATGTGTGTCCCATCTGTGAATGAATGTGATCTAAAGCACTGGTTAGTTTCTATAGAATGATTTGTTCAGATTATCTTTGTAGAGATGTAGTAGAGTGCTGTATGAATGTGCGTGGAAGTAAATGAGGGCACAGATTGTGTTGTAGAGCCCTTTGAGTATCTTGATTAGATAGAAAGGCACTATATAAGTACAGCCCATTTACCATTTAATGAACATTCCACCCAAGCTCCATTGAAACTACATTTATAATTACTATGTCCCCTTTTCCAATGACAAATTTAGCAGTTTCATGATACTTTTTTTTAATCAAATTCAAAGAAACTGATACACTCATTGTTTGGTAACAAAGTGTGAATAACTGAAACCTGAGAAGTTATCTGGATGTCCAAACATACTGCTGCAGGAGAGATCATATCTCTCCAGTTTCAGCGTTTCTCCTTTGCAGACTGCAGGCTTACTCGTGGTCCCTAGAGTTTCCAAAAGCAGAATGGGATGAAGATCTTTCAGTTATCCGGCTCCTCTCTTGTGGAACCAACTTGCAGTTTCTGTCCGTGAGGCTGACACATTGTCCAGTTTTAAGACTGGGCTTAAGACTTTCCTTTTTGATAAATCCTATAGTTAGGGTTGGCTTCATGCTTGCGCAAGATGAGAGTTCTGTGATGGAGCTAAATTCCAAGCAGTCTGCTCCTCAGATAAATAATGTTAAATTATTATTTTTATACATGAATGTTTCTGTTCAGTGCCCTGAGACGACTTCTGTTGTGACTTGGCGCTATATAAATAAATTGAATTGAACTGAAGACTGAAATAAGGAACTAATGCTTACTTATAATATTTAAGGAAATGGTGTCTGTGGAAGCAGAATGAAGAGTTTTCTTTAAGGCAGAGAATCTTCTGGAAGGTTTATATAATAAACAGAGGAGACAATCCAGTTGTAGGGGTTCAGGCTTGGAGAGGAGAGTAAGATTCCAGGAGGTGAGTATGGTGAGATTCACAGGTTGGTGTAAGAGTTTCAGGTCAGACCAGGATGAAGACGTAAGTGAGAGATCTTTGTATGTCCGTATGAAAAGGATTGGTTTTAGAGTGAAGGTCCAAGGCAAAATCAGGCTGGAGGATGAAAGAAGCCTAAAACTTGAAACATAGGAAACAGATTCTCATCTGCGAGGAGCAGAAGAAAACAAAATAATTCACAATATCTTCCATTTGCACTAGGAACGCTGTCCTTTCACTGAATACCATAAGTAGACAATGTCTTGGTGTCATCCTCTGACAGTCTTGGTCCTTAAATACAGCAAGGTGGCTCATTAGAGGAATGATGAGCCACTGCCGAGGAGAAGAAAACTCTTTCCTGCCACCCAGGAGCTACAAATAGATGATGTGAATACAAACAATACTGGAATCTCTACAGAAACCATTAAAACCAGGAAAGACTTTGTTGTTTAATACTGTATGTATAGATGGATGTGTGGATGCAGTGTCTGTTTCAGAGCTTCTGCAACTAGTCGTGGCAAAGTCTTGTGATTCAAAGCAAAGACAAAGGAGAAAATGTTTATTCAGGAAGAGTCACAAGTCCTCTACAAAGAGATAAAAAATGAGTAAAAAGAGCAGAGTGACCACTTTGTATTCATTTAGCATCTCTCAGTCTGAATGTGTCTGTTAAGAGGAGTGAGGTGAATGAAAACGCTCTGCAGGTGTCGGTGAGGAGGAGAAGATGTAACTCTGAAACAACCAAAGAGATTGTCACAGTTTAACAAAACAAAGTAACTTAATCTGCACTCCTTGCATTTATCAAATGTCCTGTATGTCCTCAACTTCACCTTCAGGCTATGCTTGAATCACTGTCCAATTTATTTCCAGACAAAGCAACATTCAAACTATTGTTTGCATGTTTTGTTTAGTTGATAACTACAAATTATTTCACCCAACCCAAAAATTAACTACTAATGCTCCATCGAGACAGTCAAGGGATTTAAATCCCAGCTAGAAAATATCACTTCTTACAGTTTTCTCCCTAAATGGAGGACAAGCAGTTTTTGGCAAAATATAATTTTATGTTCACTGTTCATTAATCATAGTGACTGAGCTGTAAATTAAATAGAAACACAGACTAGTTCATAAACTGCACCAGTTGATGTTTTTATTTTCCAAATGTACAGGTTTTATGCACTTCACATAAAGAATGTGATTTCCTTTGCTCCATGTTTCATTAGATGTTGTTGAACTAACTTCAGATATAACCCATTTTTATTGACATTATTAACTGGACAGCAGTTAGTTAGATTTTAACTCAGTATTGTTGATTAAAGAGCTCTTAAACATCTTCAAATAAACATTTTTGAGTTATTGCTCCTCAAAATCATGCACAATTTATCAGCCTGAGAACATCAATCCCTGTGAGCTGGAATTTGAGCAGAGTCGTATGAAGTCTGTTATCGGGGTCGTGGTAAATATCTGCAGCACTGCAATCTAGGTTCCTCCCTTTCCTTTTACCTTGTAGAACAACAGACGTAAAAGTAACCAAGTAGCTGCCATGGAAGTTATTTTGCACAGAGTTTAAAGATGTTTGCTCCGTTCTGCCTGAAAATATTAAATATTTGGTGGAAATAAACTGATTGTAGTTTGTCTCAGGTTTCAGACAAACTATTTGTGTCTCCAAATGAAGAATAATGCATCAAATAACAATAAATGCCTTCAGGCTGAAGCTTTGATTAGTTTTACAAGTTTTAAAGTGGTAAAAATGTGTTAGTTATTCTTGTTCACTTTCTGTTCTGATTAGAACAAAAAGTATTTTTTAAAACACATTTCCATCTGTTCCCAGTTCTCGGAAATGAGTTTTGAACGTGTGTACCTTGAACATGTTTAGCTTGTAAATTGAAAATCACGTTTAATTATTGTTCATTTTCAACTTTTAATTAAGCACGTTGCTTGTTACACCTGTGAAATGTGAATTTCCATATTTGTGTACGCTCTGGAAGCCACACTCAACTCCCTTTTCTCCTCTTCCTTGTCTTTTTGTTGCCATGGCCACCACAGACGGTTGCCAAGTGAGGAGAATGGCTCCATGTCAAGTAACAGCTCAGGGAAGCTGAACACCAGCAAGAGCTCCTCTGCCCGAAGGACGGCGACTGGCAGCAGCAGCAAGAACGGCAAAGAGGAGCTGCACAAGAGGGGCGCCAACGGTGAGGAGGCTCGAACGGGAGAAACGAGAGAGTGGGGGTGATAAGGTTGGAATTAAATGACAGGAAAGATGGCAGCACAGAGTTGGGGAGAAAATTAAAAGATAAAGGATCAGACACTTAAGCGTCCAAGATGATTCAGATTTGTTACACATATTCACTGCACAACTGTTTTCATATAAAGAGGCTTTACAATAAAGTGAACACTCAGACGGGCAGTGACTCAACCTGCTCCTGCATCATGTGTCTGTCCATGACGACACTCAGACTCAGGTCCGCTCCCGGGCTGCTGCTGCGTTCACGTTCACTTCATCAGAAGAGACGCGTTAGATTTGAACGTGTCCGAGTTTGATTGTTTCTGTTCACTGCCTCGCTCCAGATGCAGGTGTGAACGAACTGCATGTAGATGAACACCAATGGGTGCTCGTTTATCAAGTTATTTCTTTATCAACCACACGTTGTCACTTTAGGAGCTATTCACAGTTATACTTCCTTGAGTTCATGGGTTGTGAAATCCAAAAGTGACTCATCAGTAAACTGGGGAAAAAAAACAAACAAAAATCACAGACACTGTTTAATTAGTGTAAAACAGTGTAAATGTGCAATGAACCTTTTAATTATCAGTACTGTTAGAATGCTTGTTATTTTTAGGCAAAAAAAAAGAAGCTGAACTTATGCAGCAACTTAAATGATTTAATTAAAGATTGAATGTCAAAATAATAAGATGTCATAAACAGGACATCATTTCTTTTATACAGAACACATTATAAACCTAAACAGTTGCCTTTTAAATGGGTTTATTATAGTTTAATAATATTTTGTCACAGGTTTTCTATATTTTAGGTAATTTCTAGATTTGTGTTAAAAGTACACTTCTTTCTGAAATGTTTGTTAAGATTTTATAGAACTTTACACTTTTTTTGTGTCAGGCGAGCCCAGATTGAAAAAAACAACAACAAAGAAAATTTAAGTGAGTCAAGTTTCTGGATTAGGACACCAAATAAAACTATAAAGCCCCAAGTCACACAAATGTGTATCCAAGGTCATTGTTACCTTTCAAAATAAGACATACACTGATTAATTTTAGTTAAAGAAAAACATTTGTAAGGTACCAAAAAAAGCAGACCTTACTGAGGTCTGCTTTAATGTCAAAGAGTCTACTGTCAGGAACAACTTCAGTGACATGCAGTTGTATTTCTTAGATGTGTTTTTCTGGAGTGGAGCTGAACAGAGAATACAAACCTTAATGTTTTTAGTGCAAGATATTCAAGTGGGTAGGAGTTACACTGTGTATAGGAATAGAGATGGTTAAAAAAAAAAAAAAAAAAAAAAATATATATATATATATATATATATATTTGCTTTTACAAGGAAGTGTAGAATGATGGATCCTTGTTAGTAGAGGGAGCAATTTTACCCACCAGGTGTAATGTCAGGGGGTGGCCAATGGTGGCCCTGGCCACTATAGATTAAGTTTCAGGCCACCCCAGTCATCTGAAGAAACTATGCTTTTCGAGGCAATATAAAAACTAGAACGCATAGTTTCCTCAAATGATTGGGGTGGCCAGTTTACATACATTTATGGTGGTGGCCATCTTGGATTTTGTCATGGCAACCCTATTTTCAATGCTGACCTTTTTTATGCCTTGATGCAGCAGCATTTCCAATTCCTGTCTTTGCTCTGAGAATTTGGGACAATAAAGGAGTGCTTGCCAGGGCTGCAATGACAAACCAACTGAAATCCAAATGTTACATTTAAAGGAATCAAATGAAAATTGTATTTCAGCACAAGAACATTATCCCATTTGTAAAACATGTCAGTGGTAGTATCATGTTTTTTTTTTGGTTTGTTTGATTGGTGCGTCTGAACCAGAATTAATTGCCATAATGTGATGTGTTAAATTATAATTGTATGGACTGGGAATGCATAATGACAATGCATAGCAATTTTACTTTTCAATAAAATAGAGATTTGCGTATTGAAGCTGTTGACTATAAGTAAGCCAGTATGTCAAAACATATGTAAATAATCTGAATATCAATACAAAGTGAATGAGAGAACATAACCCAGAATACTAAGTGACTCAACAAAACAAGCATTTAAAATAATGACAATAGACAAAGTGGCAGTCTCTCATAAAATAAAAATAACATTATTGCTGTAGCAAATTACCAAGTTTTCACATTTCTGCTGAGATACTAGATGTTTTGGGGTTCATTTTCTGTGATAAATGAATAATTTGATAAAGAATAGTGTTTGGGTTTAATTTTCTCATCCACTACTTGTGCAAACCTACTGAATTAGTTATCCTGATGCCTGGCTCAATAATCCATAAATGAATTATTGGAAATCCAGAAACAAAAATTCTAAATCATTTACATATCTTTAAGCTTTACGGGACGTTAAAATGTACCATATTTTTTGGACTATAAGGCACACTTAAAATCCTTTAATTTTCTCAAAAATCAACAGTGACTTATGTATTAATTCTGATTGTGCTTACTGACCTCAAACCGATTTTATGTGGTACACAACACTCAAAAATCTGTCAAAATGATCTTATTTCACTTAATGCACCTTATAGTCTGAAAAATACGTGATCATTTTCAGGTTAAAATTTAACAAACAGTGATATTACAAAGTGAAATGAACTACAGCAACATCACCAGCTGATAACAGCATGTCCAAGATGAAACGGATTAGATTTATTCTTGTTTTACTAGTGACACATCTGCAGCAGGTGTTCTGCTCACTGACTGCAATGGCTGCTGGTTGAGGAAGCAGTAGGTCGTCTCTGCCAGGCAGCTTGATATGAAACAACAGCAACGCTGGTGCAACAAATCAAATTATTGACGCCTGACCTCTTCAAATCAGTTCATGGGATTTATGCTACAGTACGTGCTCACTGCCACGTTTACTGTGACATCAGAAGAAAGACAACGCAAGGCCAACCAGAACATCAGAAAGGACCACTTCATGCTGCTTCACCATGACAGCCAGACCAATAAATAAATAAATATAACTAGAAAAATAAGTTGTTGTTTTTTTCAGCAAAACTGCAGTGTAAGTAAACAACTTAGCTGTAATTTGTTGTAGCTGAAAGTTAAAACAAGCAAAACAAGCTAAATTGAGCAAAAGCTAAAATTAGCTCAAGAGTCGCTAAGAGCAGTAAATAAACTCTTAACCATTGGGTTCAACTTTGTGTTTTTATTAACAAAATACACAGAAATGGTTACAACTCTGCTAACTTGAGCTAAAACCTTGTGTGGTAGTAGATGAGCTTCGTCCCAACTCATACCCCGAGTGCAACCCATTGTGCAGAACTTTGCTTGGAGAGGCAACCCTGTATGTCTGTTAGTGTTAGCAAAATAATTCATGAGCCAATGGGCGAATTTCAATGAAGCCTTGAGCAAGTGATTATTGACTGTTTATCTATATCCAAATACCCTTTGGAGTCAACCCAATTCAACTAAACATTAGTAGTTTATGAAGCAGCTCCACATCTTGTATTGTCACTATATCAACTGTACTTTTAGCTTAAACTAAATATTTCTTGTTCTGTGTTACCAGAGTTTTTTGTTTTATGAGCTGTAGCAGTTAAAACAGACGCCGTGAAAATCATTTTATAGGTTGCAGATTTAAAGACGTGTGAAAGGAATAAAGATAAGGGTCAAGACGTCAGCAGCACTTATAGAATACAAGAAACAACGTAAATTTTAAATACAATTTAATTTACAAATATTTTCCTTTAATTTACAAATATTTTCCTTTAAGTAGCATCATACTAGTGAACTAGTACATCGTAGTATCACTGAACACTGAGGCTCCATCAGAAGCAATGATTTAGTTACATGAATCTGTAGCAAGATGCTCGTCTTTGTGGCAACTTCTAACTGGCTGTTTTATTTTTCTGTCCCACACTTCACTGTCAGATTTTAGGACGGCCTTGATGAATCTCACCTCATAAAGATTGGGTCAAATATAAAAGTAGTTAGTGTCTCTAAATTAATTTAAATAGCTCTAGAACCTGAAGCGTGGGCTGCAAATGTTGGAGACAAATCCTGAACTGCATCTGTGAGGGACTTTCCAACATGTCTTGAATCATTTTTTCTTCATGAGAATTTTAAACCCTTTTGAAACATTTGATTTTCTCTCAGAATAGCCACACACTCCTTGCAGGTATCTTGAACCCTGCTCTAAAGTTTCTGTAATTTTACAGTGTTATAGAGCTACATCTTTTTGGCAACATGCATGCAAACGCTGCAAAATCTGAGCCAAACTTTGCAGGGACTTGGTGCAGATGTGCCTTTCAGTCCAATTCCTAGTGAAAATTTCAGGATTTTTTTTGCAATTTTTTGTCTCCAACTTGCCGCAGCCCTATGAAATACTTCCAACTTCCTGTGATAACAACTGTATCACAGCTGAAACACGATAAATACCAGTCTGTAGCTAGTTATAACTAACTAGCATGTTCTCCTCCCAGACCTGTACGAAGACCACTCCAGCTCCCTGCGTCTCATTACCATCAAACCCATGACGGCCCAGCCCACCTACTCGTACCCCTCCTCCTCCTCACACAGCCAGGACTCTGTCATCGTCAACGGGGAGGTGAGTCTCCTCTCTCTACACAATCCTCACTTTATCACACTCACTGTGATGATGGCAACACAGAGTATTGTGTTTTCCCAGTTGTACTCTTTGGATATCTGAAAATGTTCACACTCATTCAGGACAATGGCCACAAAAATATTGTTATGTATATACGAGAGTACTGTATATCAAAGTTTATGTGGCGTCACATCCAGCTTCATATCCATTCAATGGAACAAAGACGGTGCTTTATGTGACATTTGTCTGTTGCTCCCACCTCTCACTCTGGGACACATTTACTGAATTTAGCTGGTGTTGCTACAAACACTTTTTCTTTCTATAGCCTCTCCCTCTGTTTTTGTCACATCTCATGCTCATTGTACCTCAACCTCTCTGCACTCCTGTGTCTGAAACAGCCACACGGACAGAAGATAAATTATTCCTCAACCTATAACACCAGAAACCCCCTCAGGGCCTCTCTGGATTTCCAATGTTTCTGCTGCAATTTATTGTCACCCTGCTCGGAGAAGAAAAAAAAAATGTTTAGTGTGAAACGCTCTCTCTGATTGTTCCAAAGCAGGAAAAAGCAAAAAAATAAAGTGTGAAAATGTTAAATTTCATCATGAAAAAATATATAAATCAAACCTTTTTGTGCAAAATTGGATGCTTTGAGTTCAGTGCATGAGTTTATTGTTTTTCAGGCAAACCCTACGGGTCTAAAACAGAAGTCAGACATCGAGCACTACAGGAACAAACTGCGTCAGAAGGCTCGAAGGAAAGGCTACGGAGAGTTCTCACTCTCTGAGAGCCTCAACCACGGTTACATTCACCGAGACAGCAGACACAGTCGCCATGACAACGGGGTCAAACAGCCCATGACCGCCGAGGAGAAGAGGGCCTCATTCGCAGGATGTCACAAGAGGTAAGGAGTTCCTAAAATCCTGTTTTCTCCATTAAATGATCATTTCTAAGACAAATAAACGATTATCTTAATTATAAACTGCATTACAAGAGGTTTAAAGATATAACCACTAAAAGCACATAAAAAAAGCTCAACTCTGATTTTGAACTACAAGTCCAGTCAAGTCAGATTCAAATCCAAAGATTTTGAAAACTAATTTGTTTAAGGAAGCTGGAAGACTGCGTTGAATCTCCACTTTGTCGCAACCTCCCAGCCTGAGCAGCACGTTGTCGGCAGTGGAAAAGAATGACTTCCTTTCAACAGACAAAACCTCAAGCAGTACCAGAACCAGACCCAGGATGAGTGACCACAGAATGACTGGTCAAGGTGTGGTTTCTATGGGTGAAAAAAACAACATTTTAATAATGTTAAAAATTGCATGTAAAAATGAAGAGTAGAACAAGTAAAGAAAGCAGCAGAGTGAGGAAACGTGGTCTGTTTGTCCTCCAGCAGTCTAGAGCAACAGAACTAAAGGATGGCTCAGGAAACCCAAGCTAACTCTAACTATAGGATTTATCAAAAATAAAACTCAAGTTTGGTCTTAACAATAGACAAGGTGTCAGCCTCACAGACAGAAACTACATGTTGGAACCTGATAACTGAAAGCTCTGCCTCCCATTCTACTTGCCATCTAGGAACCACAAATAAACCTGCAGTCTGAGAGCAAAGTACTCTATTAGGAAAATATGGAACAAGAATATCTTTAGTAAAATATGGAGCTTGGTTCTTGACAGCTTTGTCAGGACTGTATTTCTCATGGGCTAACATTTAGGTCGATTTTCATCCATTTCCAGCTGGTTGTTGCACACTTTTACTGATGAATGGCTATAGTTTTCCTTTTAAAGAGCTTTAATCTTTGGCCGTTTATTGGTTGCTTACAACCTAATGTCTTGTGGAATACATGTGGAAAAGGTTTGACTGAGATTCAGTACAAATAAGGAGACATAGTGGCATGGTATGATACAAATATTACAAACTATATCACATAAAATGTGAAACATTATTAAGAACAGTTTCACAATAAAAATGACAAAGCAGTTAAACCTTTACAGTAAGTACAGAAATATTCAAACCCATTTCTTCAACAGTTTAACACAATGTAAAACAGGACGCCAGTTGTTAAAACACCTTAAAAATATTAATTAAATTCCTCCCTTTTTGTCTCATTTCTTTTTAATTTTACTTCTGAGGCAGTAAGCTATTAAACTAAGAGCTTTACAGCTTCTTGAGATTGTTAGGCAGGAAGTATCTGATGTCGTAATTAATGCTTTCATGTTCGATGTGCTACAATATTCAGATTAAACTGCATTTTCATGCCAAATATAATAAAAAGTACTTGTTGTACACTTGTAGTTGTACATCACAGTTGCTAAGCAACATGGAGGACATGGTGAGATTTGGTCAGTGCTTTAATATTTCACAGTTCACATGGATGAGTGCTTGTTTTGCTGCACTTTATCACAGAGTTTAGGATCACATTCAGTCTGTAGACGGAGCCTGGATCCTCACTGAATAAATGAAAATGGATTACCCACTGAAGTGTCACCAAATAGAGCCGTCGTGTCTGTAAATCTCTTTCAGATCTGAAGTAAAGTTGTGTGCTCCTGTTTATAACCTCATGTAAACTGCAGAAGTACACTGTTAGGTTTTTATATCCTCCTCTGTGATGCTTTGAATAAAACGGATCTTCATCGTGTACTCTGACATCCAAAAACATACAAGAAGAACACAGGATTGAGCCATGTTCACATTTCTCGATGGAAACGTAACAAAACAACAAATATTCCAGAATATTTAATCCAAATGTTTTTGTTTATGTGGGAATAAATAGGCACATTTTACATATCACAAACAATACAGCAGTGTTACCAGATATATGATAATTAATGTATGTATACTACAGTTTTAGGATCTACTTAACAATAAAAACATTTTAAGTCTTGTGAACACTCACATATCATCAGAAAGTCCGATCAGCCAAACTGTGTGCTCGCCAGGTGCCCAAATTATCCTGTTCTTTAATCACAACATGCATCTCATCTTACCTCGCCCTCGTTTGTTGAAAAAACGTGCACTTTCTTCACTCCAAATCCCCCCCAAAACTAGAGAGAAAATGCACCCTAGCTTTATTCAAAATAAGACACCTTAAACAACAGTACAATGTTACATTTCCTATCTGGCAACCCAAATGTGTGGTATTGATCATTTATTTATATATAATGTTAATTTTAGCAGTGTGTAAAATATTAACATCTAAACATGTTCGTAATGACAATCATTTCTTTATGTGCTGAATTTTACTTTGTATAACGTGATGAATTTATCATCAGATTAGGTTAAACATGCAAATATTAAAAGCAAAAATGTTCATAATTAATTATATAAATATTATTATTAGAGATAATATCAGGTGATGATTAAAGTGCAAATACACATTCACCTTAGACATTACCTGTCAGCTAAAACAGTGTTTTAATGAAAACATGGAAATAATAAATAAATAATGTAGGGATGCATGATAATATCGGCATTGTATCCGTATCGGCCGACATTAGCGATACAGTTAAATATCGGACATCGACGATTCCATCAAAATAACTCACCGATATAAAAAGGCGCTGTTTATATATCTGTTTTTGTATGACAACGCAGTGACAAGGATGCCTGTAGCGCCAGCGCAACGTTAACACGCACCGTTGAGTTTAGATTTGTGAAAATTTACAAATTTGCACTGTTCGAGTGTTGTCATTGTGTTAGAGAGAGTAAATGTCATGAATAAATTTGACATTAAACACAATCCAAGTTGAAGTGTTACATCCTTTTCAGCCCCCTTTTTGGCATCTGCATTTGGTAGCAGGCCAAACTGACAAAGACCATCCAGAATACTGTAGTATTTTAATTCCACAGCAGAGAAAGCTTTGTAGTCTCTGTAAGTAGATCTAGGGGGAAGAATATTGGTATCGATATTGGTTATCGGCCAAATAAGTTTTAACATATCGGCATATTGGATATCAACCAAAAATCCAATATTGTGCATCCCTAAAATAATGTTTATTAGCGAAACATTCAGATATAAATGCTGCCATCAACATGCATAGTGGAGCACGGTGGTGGCAGCATCATGCTCTGGGGATGCTGTTCCACCAGCACAGACTGGGAAACTAGTCAGAATTTATGTAAAGATGGAAGATACAGATGTTATTTTTGTATTTTTTTTTTTTTTGGGGGGGGGGGG